AAGCTACTAACTCATGAGGCCTTGTTTTCTAGCTTGGAAAATGAGCCAGCTGCAACCAGCTCCTAGCAGTGCTGATGAGGAGTAGGTGAAGAACGCAGGCCCTCCCTCAGCAAGATGCCCCCCCACAGCGAATATCTCTGCCCGATGCTTCCTCTCACACTTCATTTTTAACGCGGAAGCCATTCTGCTGGCTTCCTGCAGACTCGAAGGACGTGGTGGGATTGCATAAGGAACCCCCCTCTGGTCAGAGTGTGTTTTGCAGGAGACATGACAGTGCCAGTGACACTTTGAATGGTGAAATTTCATAATGTATTTATTATTGGTTTCCTAGGAAACGCTCTAATACCCAGAACGCAAGCCCACAGACTCCGGCTGTGGAGATGTTAAAGCTTCATAACTGCTATAAATACCCCCTATCTGGGGACATGTGCAACGTATTATTGCTGTACCTTTGGCCAATGACCAGAAAGCCCCTGGGACTACAGAGAGTTCACATTATGTGTGCGTTGCTATGGAGACTGTATCAAGGGCGGGCGCCGGGAATATGAACAGGATGCAGGGGTTTAAGGCAGCTCGCGATGGCAGAAATTATTCTCTCTCAAGGCACGGTCCCTGGAGAATATTCACAAAATACTTGGGAGATGAGGCAGGCTGCTGAGAGCCCTGCTTTGGATGTGTCAGCCAGCACTTCTGAAAGGCAGCTTTGGGAAAGGGCGAGACTCCAGGGACCTGGGTCTGCAACAGAATGGCTGTGAGACGTTGGAGGCTACTTTCCTCAGTTTCCCCCAGTGTAAAACGAGGCTGGTGGGGATTTCTGCAGTCCTTTCCCGCATTCCGATTATAGTCATGTTTGCGGTCAGCTTTTTGTCTCCTATCTTGTGTGGTTTCATGCAGTTCTAGCTAAGCCGAGACAAATAAAGACTTTTGGAGGCCTCAAAGATGAGCTAAAAGGGTGTCGGCCAGTCCGGGCTTTCTTTATCGTTAACCTGTCTGTTTACAAAGGACGGAGAGTTCAGACTTGACAAAAGGACGTAATTTATCCAAGGTGATTTGGTTACTGAACTGTGGGTGACAGGGCTGTCCTGGCAGGCCCAGGACTCTTCGTATACTCCGCTTGCTGCCTTTGCTCTTAAGGAGAAACAACAGCAGTAACAGTGACGGGCGGACCGTGCCTTGATATTTATCTGCTTTCTAGGCGGGTTGCAGTGTTATTACTGTACTTTTTCCTTGGGAAGCAGAGCTCCTGCGAGATTCATGCAAATCTAGTCTTTCCTCTTTGGGACCTTTGCCCTGATTGGAGCTTGTGAGTGGGTAACTTCATATCCTAGTACTGTAGCAGAAAATGCAGGACGGTAAAAGAATTCAGCTTAGGTTTTCTGATCATTTTAGGGCAACTAATTGCAGATCATGAGAACTGAAGAGTCACTGAGTCCCAGTGATAGGGAAAGCTTTTATAAATAGCAAAAACCTATAAAGTGTTACAATGTAAAATGGCTTCCGCTGTCTCTAGCAGCAGTTTGTTTCGCTCAGAACTAATCGGCACCGAAGGTGCTAATTGCCGACTGAGGCATTGGGTCTGACCCTGAGATAACAGGGCACAGTAAGACCTTGAGCTCGGAAGAGACTGGAGCCCCATGATCGTAAGAGTGTCTGGCTGAAAGGACCCATTGCTAACATTGGCTCCCCTGACCCTGAACACCCCCTTCCTATGGGCTAGCATAGATAACTAGGTGAATCTTAAAGGTAAACTCCCCAACTGCAAAGAACTGTTACATTTGGGTTGGAAAGATGAACTGTTCTGTGACTGTGATTTAAACCGTGAGAATGAAGTGTAACCACCCAAATGAAGTCAAGGCTGTGAAACCCCAGCAAAGGAGGAGTTGTAACCCAGTGTGGCGTCGATCCAGGCACGGCTTATGTGCGATCGACTCTTATCGATGAGTAGATTTGTTATTTTACTTCCATTCTGCTGCCTGTCTGTGTGTCACTTACTGAGTCCTGCCGTAACACCAGCACTTGGGAGGCTGAATCAGGAGGATCACTGTGAGTTTGAGGCTAGCCGAAGCAGCACATTGAGTTCAAAGACAGTGTGTGCTGCAAACACAGAAAAGGAAGGAAGGGTTAAGAGACAGTGGGGAGGAGAGGGAGAGAATGGAAGGGAGATGAGAAGGAAGGAAAGTGCATGTCCATGGACCAACTTCCCACACGTACGAAGTTAAAATAAAAAAACAAAAAGAAAAAGACTGTCTTGAACTACATAGTAAGTTCCTGTCTCAAAATCAATAGACAAAAACTTGCTGAGGACTCCATAGAGGGCTAGCAAGTACAAAGGTCGTGAAAACCTGGTTCCTGGTGGCATTTATTACCCTCTTGGAGACGGGCACCCACGATACCGCCTCAGATGTTCTGCCCATTTGTGCCTGGGTATCTGCACTCTGGCGGCACTGATGTGCACGGGAAAGGTGAAGTCCGACTATTTACGTGTATTTGCTTTGACCTGCAAAATTTCATACGGGAAGTATAAGCCAAAAATTGGTGATGTTTTTATAGAAGAATAAGTAACGATAACGTTGCATTTTCCCCGTTGTCAAAGGAACAAAGATGTTTTTCCCCTTCTCCTCTCTTTTATTCGCACTGGCAGGGACTGAACCTAGGGCCTCTTTCATTCTAGGCAATTGCTTTGCCTCCGAGCTACACCCCAGTTCTTTTTCTTGGGGCATTTTCCTGAGAACACTGGATTATGAGCCCTTATACCCTGTTTGATGTACAGGAAGCCTCTCTCTGAGATACAAATATGAGGAAGACAGTGCGGTGTCCTCGTTACTGTGGGAGAGGGAGTTTAACCTGTGCTCCTTGTTCCAAGCTGCAGCCACCTGCCTGTGAAGGAGAAGGAAGATTTGTTAGTCCTCAGGTGCAGATGGTTCTCCCACAGCCAGGCGTGCTCAGGAGGGTGTCAAGCCCTCTCTTGTGAGCGTATGTGTATAAAAGCTTGCACCTGCTGGGCTTGACGTGCTGTAGAAGGGGTAGATCTGTGTCTGTCAGCTCATAAACCAATCGCCTATAATGCACATTGTAAGTCCTCCCACTCCAAGAGGAGGTGGATAAGAATGTGGTGGATAAGACAGGGAGGGAAAGCGGGCTTCTCCAAGTGCGTCTTTTTGTACTATTTGCCTCTTTTCTCTTTTTTCAGATAGGGTCTCATTATGTAGTCCAGGCTGACCTTGAACACACGATGTGGCCCAGGTTGGCCTCCACTTTGTGGCAATCCTTCTGCCTCAGCCTCTTGAGTGCTGTGGGATCACAGGTGTGCGCCACCATGCTCAGCTGTTTTGCCTTTTTGACCTGGCCAATGCCTTATATATTAAAGGATGTTATGTCGGATGTGGTGGTGCACACCTGTGATCCCAGCACTTGGGAGGCTGAGGCAGGAGGATCGCCAGGCTGAGGCTAGTCTAAACTATATAGGGAGACCCTGTCTCAAAAAAAAAAAAGGATATTCATATAAAATTAGAGATAAGGGAAGCCAGATGTGGTAGTGCATGCAAGTATTTCCAGGACTCAGGAGGCTGAGGCAGGAGGATCACCTTGTGTTTGAGGCCAGTCTGGGCTACATAGTGAGTTTAAGGACAGCCTGAATTACATAGGGAGACCCCATCTCCATCCCCCCATCCAAAAAAGAAAATCCTAAAATTGAATACCATTTAGCAAATAAAAGATAACTTCTCTGACATAAGGTTAAGACTATTTGTCTGTAGTAATAGTGGCTGAGCACAGAGCAATTCTATGATGAAGCTGTGTGGGTGGCAGGATTGAGAGACGGTCCATGCTGCTAGAACCAGGGAGCTGAGAGAGGGACAGAGAGCTGGCAAACCAGGGCCAGGGACCCCTGTGGTGCAGAATGCGAGTTAAAGGACATATTTTTTTTTTTTTTTTTTTTTTTTTTTTTTTTTGTACCAGGGATTGAACTCAGGTCCTTACACTTGCGAGGCAGGCGGTGGAACCACTGAGCTAAATCCCTGGCCTGGTATTATGATGCTTAAAGAATCAATTTCCTTAGTCCTGTTCTTTGCAGTGACATCCTGAGCCAACAGGGAATACACTAGTCTAGTTTCCTAAATACTTTTCTCTTGTAAAAGGGAGCCAGCCAGGTATGGTGGCACACACCTATAATCCCAGCACTCAGGGAGGCTGAGGCAGGAGGATTGTAAGGGTGAGCCCAGCTTGGGCAACTGAGCAACTTCACCAGACCCTGACACAAAATAATAATAAAAAATAAAATTCTCAGTGAAGAAACATAAAGAAGATGATGGAACAGTGAAGACCATGGTTGCCACTGCGGTGCCGCATTGAGTGTGGAGGAGTTCCGAGGGCCAGTTCTACAAACAGAAGAAACATATATTCTACCACCACGGAAGCTTGCTTTTATCAGTGCAAGACAGATGGATACTCAATTGTACAAACAATTCCACAATAGAGCCTAGTTGAGAAAAAGAATCACCTGTGAGGGAATATATGGAAACTGACAAGTGCAAAAAAAAAAAAAAAAAAAAAGCAAGAAAAGCATTTTGTTGGAGACAATCCATTTTATTCAAGTCAGTCATTTTTTCACCACTATCTGCCTTTGCAGAGCACCAGGCTTAAAAAATATCTAGGTTGGATTTCCACAATGCTTAACTCCACAGTCAAAACCCCTTTTCTTTAGCAAAAAGCAACCCCTTAATCACAAGAGAAAGAGAAGGAAATACTGATATAGTTTCCAAAATATTTATTTCCAGTTTTTTGAGACAGGGTCTCACTATGTAGCTCAGGCTGGCCTTGAACTCAATACGTAGCCCAGGCTGGCGGAAAACTCTCAGTGATCCTCTTGCCTCAGCCTCCCAGGTACTGGGATCACAGGTGTGTGCCACCATACCTGGCCCAAAATTTATCTCAACAAAAAATGACCCACGGTCCATAATCTTTCGTGGTGGTGCTTTCACTGCAGGAGCAGGTTGTTTCTCATATATGTTTGCGGCCCCACTGTATCATGGAAGGGAAAATGAGGAAGCCTCCCCAGAGAAGATGCTGGTGGTTCTTGGGCAGAGGGAGGCAGTGATGAGCTGGGTAACACATGGGAGTGGATCTCTAGAACAGGATGGTGTGTGACTAAGGAATCCACTGCAGGAAGGAGAAAGCCACTGAGAGTAGGAAAGCAGGAAAAAGATCTAGGCTTCCCCCAGAGGAAAGGCGACCTCAGTAGTCGAAGGCAGGATTGTGCCTATCTGTTGACACGAGGAGACACTGAGTGGCTTCAGCAGGTCTGGCATAAAACTGGAATGCCAGGGACATGGAAAGCGAGAAGAGCATCCTTCCTCTGTCGAGTAACATGCAAGGAGCCCCAGGGCTGGTGGGGGAACAGGACACCCGCTGGGGAAATGTCACAGGGTCTACTGTGTGGCCCTGAGGTACTGAACAATCTCGCTGTGCCCACCAGATCCTGCCACTACCCGGTGGTCTGTCCCATGGGCCACGTGCAGGGACGGGTTACTTCCGGCTAGGAACGAGCCTGGGCCTCCGTGCAGTCGCTCAGCCGGCCCCATGATGGGCACCTGTCTTCCTTGGCTTTCCTTGCAGTTTGAGAGGATGAGGACCCTGCCTCACAGGTGCCTGATAAATGTATGTGGAATGATGTACTGTGCAAGTGTCACTTGGTCCAGAAGAGGGGAAAAGCACTTGGGAAAGGAGAGTGGAGATGGTAGTAGTGAGGGTGGGGAGCAATGTACCCCGGCCAGCAAATGCAACATGTGCCTTCGCCCAGGTAACAGGAGAGCGCAGGGAGGGCACGGTTCAAGGTGGCCGAAGCCACTGCCTAACAGTTGAGGCTGCGGAAATGGAGAGCCACAGTTGTTTCTTATTTCTCTCCTACATAACACTGCCCTATCCAAGCTCAACCAGAGAATGTGAAAGAAAAATGAACAGCCAGGTGGTCTTAACTAGGTTGGAAGGGCCAGCTCCTTTATGTGCGTTTTTGGTGCTTTGGTCGGTAGGCAATCAAGATGGAGAGAGATGCCACCCCGAAGAGGAAAGTCTGTAGGAACCAGAGTAGCCGAGCCCGGGGGTTTGTGATTCCCTTGTATCTGAAAAGAAAGAGCAAAATTTAAACACCAGAATTTAAGTTTATGGTTTCACAGAGTTACTATTTTCTATTTATTTATTTATTTGGTTTGCTTTTTTTTTTTTCTTGAGACAGGGTCTCACTATGTAGTTGAGACTGCTCTGGAACTCACAATGTAGCCCAGGTTGGTCTTGAACTCACAGCGATCCTCCTGCTTCAGCCTTGAGAGAGCTGGGATTACAGGCGAGCTCCATCATGCCCAGCTTTTGTTTTTTTGTTTTTTTTTGAAAAGGGCTGCCATGTAGAACATACTCTCCCGAAATGGAGATCCTCCTGCCTCAGTCTCCTGAGTGCTAGGATTACAGCATGTGTTACTGTGTCTGGCTTTAAATTTTTTTTTATTTTTAATAACAGAGAGCTCAGATACAGAGTCACATACATATGTCCCTGTATGAGAGGGCACAACAACAGACAGTGAATGGATCACTAAATGGCTCTGGGATAACTGAGCATTCACATGAGAAAGATGAGGCTGGAAATGTCTCTTTCTCTTGCTGTCTTACAGAACAAATAAACTCTGGATACATTAAAGATGTGTGACAGGCAAGACTCTAGAACTACTAGAAGACACTGTATGTAAGAATAGCCATACCTTTAACCCTGCAGAGGTCATGGGTGACAAGATGTGAGGAGTCTGTACAACTCCCACCAGCCATGATCTCCAGAGGGTTAACATCACAAAGAAAACAAATAAATCAGACACCACTGACTAACTTCTCTTTATCGGAAGACTTAGCAGAGTCAAAAAGATAATGAGAAAGGATACTTGCAAAATATCTGAATGGCAGATCACTCAAATTGAGAATCAAAAAAGAACCCCTCTAGATGGGTAAGGAAAGGACAGACACCCAGGGAGAGCAGGGGTTGTGAGGATGAAGGAAACAAGAACACACTCTTGTCAGGCGCGCAAACTCATCCCTCCATTTAAATGGCAAGATGGTGGGAAACAGCAGCATTTAAAGTACTCATGCTTTGATTTTTAAATGCCAGACCTACCAATTATTTGAAGTAAATACCAAAGTGAGCCAGATGTATGAAATTCATTTTCTTCACAATACTGCTTTACATTATAATTATAATTATATATACTAAACTCTTAATAATGAGTTTTGGGATAACAGAAACCACTTTCAACTGTTGTGCTTCTGAGTTTTTAGCAAATGTGTATAACTTTTATTGGCAAACATGTTGGTTTTGAAATGAGCAAATGGAAAATAAACATATTATTCTAGAAGTATGTAAGATACAACACTTAGGAAAGGAAATCAAAGATTTGCTGCTACTTGGTGATTTTAGGCTCTGTAGATGGCAGTGCCTGTGTCTTTGCTGCTGCTGAATCATTATTACTTTTATTTTTTGAGACAGGCTCTCACTACATAGTTCAGGCTGGCCTTGAACTCACTATGCAGCCCAGGCTAGACTCACCCTTGCAGCAACCCTTCTGCCTCAGCCTCTGGAGAGTTGAGATAATAGGTACGTGCCACCAGGCCCAAAAGACAGAGTCCTTTGGTTTTCATCAGAGATTCCAAATATAAAAACAATATCAAAACAACTGTCAGGTGCTGCTGCATTCTAAGTTGAAGGGCTGCACGAAAAACCCCCAGAGCAAGACTTCACTGCGAGGTTGAAGAGGCCAATGCAAAGACATAACAGAGTCCAGTACTTTAGCATTCCCTATCTGAAGTCAAGCCAAGGGAACTGCTTCAATGGAAGCACCTGGAGATGGACACAAGGCCCCTGGGGTTTGGAAAAGCTCACTGTCGGAGTGGGAAGAGTAAGCACTGGATCAGCCTGCTGGGGGAGAGCACTGGGAACTGCACACTCTTGTAGCTGATCACACTGGACAGAACTATATGTGTGCAGCTTTAAGAAAAACATATTCCTATGTCAGGAGCAAGAGCTACTGGATCAGAATCTCTGAGTCTGGAAAGCAGATACGTCTATCTTGAGAAAGTTACTCAAGTGACTTGGCTGTCAAATCAGATTAGAATCATCAGCCTGCCAATAATTCAGCTCTTTTCAAACTAGAAGAGTTACTCTTTGTTCTATTTGGTGCTTTATAGAGTTGTAAAAATAAAACAAAATTCATCTCAATTAAATAACCAAACAATCAATGGACTAACACAATCAAACTGAATTCATTCATCAAACATTTACTGAGTACTCCCACTCTGGCAGGCTCAGTACTGGTATGGGGATTCAAATCTACCCCGGGAGTGCTCTCAGCCTACAAGTGCATGAATTTTTTAAATGTAACTATCCTCAACTTAGACACTAGGAGAAAGGTGACAGAGACTTACTTGCACAGTACCATGGCATATAAGGACTCTCCAATGTGAATCAGCCAGGCAAGCCAGTATCTGAAGCCAAAAGAAGAGAAGTGTTTCTAGTTTAAGGTGATGAAATTACCACAGAAGCTTTAAAAAGAAAAGTGTCTCAATGTGAACTGGCTTTGCTGTTGGATATCCGATGCCACCTGCAGGCCTTCCAGGTGGCCAGTGAGCTGCAGCTGCAATGTCCTTACCCATAGCGCAGGAGAGTGTGATGGTGGCCTGCCAAGTACTGGGTGAAGGAGCCCAGCGGCCCAAGGCTCTGATAAGGGATACTCTGAGGCCAGAAGACAACCCACTGAAAGAGAGCCAGAAGCAGAATATCTATTAAATCATTTAAGAGATCAGTAAATGTTTGAGAGCAGCAATAGAATAATATTGATTATACAGAAACAACCATGGACCAAAGAAACTGACCGAAATCAGTTGCTTCTCCATTTTTGACTTCTGTTTTCTAAAAGCAGCTTTAGTGGCATTTACAGAGGAAAATATATGGTTATCAGACTCAGTGCCCAGGGTGGCTGATTCCTGTGGAGGCCAGAGTAACTCCATATTGTAATAAAAGGCTCCATTTTATACTGGGCCCGACCTAAAATGAACCCAATCGTCTTGTGACTGCTGAGCAAAGCAAACTAGTTCCTGAGAAAACAACAGAATGTATAAAACCATTAGATAAGACCATCTGGCATCCTTGAAACTCAGCCACCCCATACCAACCTTGTAACTCGGCCACCCTGTAACAACCTTGAACCTCGGCCACCCCGGATAGCTCACCACCCCAATAACAGCCAATAGGATTTAAATGTAATAACTAACCAATCATAATAGAGGTAAAGCTTGTTACTAAGACTAATGTATCCCAAACCCTATAAAAGCGGCTTGAAATTGCTTTTCGAGGTCTCCAATCTCTGATTGGCAGACCCACTGCATACTGTGCTAATAAAGTGCTCTTGTGTGTTGCATATGTGAGTGGTGATCTTCTTGGCAACGCGGCGCTAGGGCACAACAATTCCTATTCTAATGAATTTCAGCAGAACACTTTATAGAGGATACTAACAAACAACTTTTTACGAGTTTATGTGGTTGGCAAGTTCTCACTGCCAAAACTACGACTTGAACCAAACCTCATTTAATTTAGAACTCCTTCCTTTCTTTCACTTATTGTACTGGTCAAACTAAGACCGATCCATTGAACAGAGATGGAGAGGCAGATGTTCAGAGTGGTAAAGTTTTAAGAGTAACTGTACAATCAACATAAGATCTATGTAAAATTATCAGCTCTTCATTTTCCATCTTGTATTCTCTGCTAGGTTAGGTTTTTCTGATAATAAGTGTCAACAGTTCCAAAATTCATTCGCATTCAGATCTGTCAAGAATACTGTCTTTCTTACAATGTACAGGGTACAGAAAGAGCATCTGCCGGCTCCACAATATCACAATTGAAGTCCCCAAAGCTTTCTTCTTTCTAAATTCTAATCATTCAGAGACACAGAATGGAAGAATGGAAGAACCCAAGTTCACCTTAGAAAAATTTCATTTCAATGTCTTCATTTTACATATGAGGAAACCAGGAGAACTTTCATTTCAACGTCTTTATTTTACATATGAGAAAACCAGGACAGACGTGGTCACCCCTGACACCAACAAACAACACTATGGGTGACAAATCCCTAGTCTCCAGGATCTCCTGGGCACTATCTAAATGGCCTTACTTTTGTTCATAATTATACCAATGTAGCCCTCAATCTATGTTTCAGCCTCTTTCCCATTATCTTTAAACTGTCAGCTACCCTGAAGCTGCTTTTCCTCTGGGGAGCTGTCTTCCTGCTTTCACACGTACGTCTGAACAGTTACATCCTCTCTGTCCCTTCTTACCCGTCAAATCCTACCCATCCTTTAGGTTTGTTCTCACTTCCCAATCAATCCCAACTGCTTCACTCTGCTTCGGAAGCCCTCATTCCTAATTGACAGGTCTAGGGCTGACGGTCGACTGTAATTCTGACTCTGTGAATGGCTCAGGCTAGTGTAAACATCAATAACGGTGGAGGTGGTGGGGGGGGCGACGCGAGGGCCAAGAACTCTTCCTAGGCTAAAGGGTCGCCGCGCTCGCTTAAATAGCACGTCCCATACGCCACCTCGTACACCAGTAACCTAAGCAACCACACGCGCGCGTGCGCAGAGACAGCAGTCCCATAGCCCCCTTCGCGCCGCCAGCCCCAATCCTCACCGCGAAGTATCCCAGCCCCAGGAATGTGATCAGCGCGGGCAAAAGTCTGGCGGAACGGAAGTAGGCGGTGGGATCCCTACTGGCCCCCGACTTCGCCATCACCATTTTGAAAGAAGGGTTGGGTGGAGAGCCGCCCCGCCTATAGCAAGGAAAAGCCTGACGAGCCGGTTCTCAGGGCCTGGAGCACTCGTCCAGGCCCTGGCCTACCAGTGCGCCTGCGCGGCCTCTCCCTCCCAAGAGCGCGGAACCTGGCGTCGCTGTCCTTACCGTGTAGTAGCCAAAGGAAACGGTGATAACTGTGAACCAGAACAGACTTCCCCTCTGGAAGTAGGCTGCGTCGCCTGCTGTCCGCGCCATTGCGGCAGCGCCTCCCTGGCCTTGCTAGGCGGGACTGGGAGCGTGAAAACGGAGAGAGGCGGGGTGATCCCTCCTTTAGCCCCTCCCGGACCTGGGAGATACCCCGGGTTGTGAAATTTCGGGCAAACGTAGCTGTGTCGGGTTTACAGAGAGAGAGAGAGGCCGAGGTGTTCTAACGCCTGAACGCCGCTTGCAGGTCGCTTGTTATCTTGTAGGGGAGATGTCTATACTGGGTGACACCTTGCTGGGTTTAAGATGAAGCTGTTGCGAGCAGACGGTATTTACCGAGATAGCCGCGAGTCTTAAGTTTTTGTTTATTTATTTTTTTCTTTTTAAAAAGATGGTCTTGGCTCTGTAGTTCAGGCTGGCATTGAACTCACTATGTAGTCCATCCAGGCTGGCCTCGAACTCATGGCGGTCCTCCTGCCTCATCGTCTTTGAGTCTAGGTTTTGGACTTATGCTCTGTGCTATGCTTGGTGAAAAATGATGCTTTTCATCTTCACTTAAGGTGTATCTAAGTGCAAGGCACAGGGACGTGTGCAGCACACTGCCTTGGTTTAAGTACTGACTCCGCTGTTGATATTTCTGGGCCAGGCTGTTTTATAGTTTTTCTATCTGTAAAACGAGATTATAGCAATTCCTGCCTCAGCGCTTTTGGGTTGGATTAAATACAGTACATTTTTTAATATTTTAATTTTGGATCCTTATCTTAAATTTTTTTTATACATGGTCTTAATTGTGAGTTGCTTCAAATCTTTCTTTGAAAGCCACAAGTTTAAAGTATTAATTCAAATGATGTCTAAAGAATCCTGTGAGATAGACAAGCCAGGATTTATCTGTCCCATTTTGCAATCCCTCATTCACTGATTTTTTTCAGACATTTATTGGGCACTGTTTAATGTGATAGGCATGGTGCAAGGTGCTGGGTATGGAAAGTGTAAATAAGGACTAAAATGTATAATAGATAATGTGAAGTACGAAGAAAAGGTATAAAGGGGAAGGGGAAGCAGGAAGGGTAGAGGAATGGAATTAATATGAGAAAAAGAGAGAAAATGGAAACAAAGTCTTTGTAGATAGGGAAGGGTGGAGTGGTTGAAGGGAGGGCAGGGGAATGGAGAAAAAATAAGAACCAAGATGGATTATGTAAAGGTGCAAATTTCTAAAGATAAATGTCATTGTATACCTTAAATGCACCAATAAAATTAATTAAAAAAGGGTGCTGGGGCGTAACAATGATTATGACAGTGATTACAACAGTCCCTGAAAGAGCTCACAGGGCAATGGACAACTACTGAGTAAACTGAGGCACTGGGCGGCACATGAGGTACCCAGCATGGAAGAAAGAGCTAGGGGCTTAGGAGGGTGCGACTAGAGCTGAGAGAGTACAGGCACAACTCACAGCAAGTCAAACTGACGGAGAAGCAGGACCACACACTGTAACACATTACAAAACCCTCTGGCCAAAGGCTTAATATAGTTTCTAATTTTACCACAATCGAATTTATGTATTTCAATTGCACTATTACCTGGTAACATTTCTGTTTATTTTAATTTTTTTCCATTAAGTTTATTGGTACACTTAAAGCAAACAATACAGGTGCATTTATCATTGGGATCTTGCACCTTTACATGATATATCTTGGTTCTTGTTTTTTCCCCCATACCCCTGCCCTCCCTTCACCCCCTTCACCCTTCCCTATTTACAAAGACTTTGTTTCCATTTTTTCAGTTTTTCTTTTCCCTTATTTCCTTTCCCCTACCATTCCCTTCCCCTTTAGCCATTTTCTTCCTATTTCACACTCAATTATACCATTTGAACTTTATTTACACTTTTAATTTTTCACACCAGAGAAACTATTCAGTATTTACTCAAGTGTGTCCTATTTATTTCACTTAAGAGTATAGCCTCAGTGTGCAGCCATTTAGCTATAAATGTTTCTAGTTTCTCATTCTTTATGGCTGAGTAGTACTCCATTTTATAGAAAAAACACATTTTCTTTATCCAGTCTCCAGTTGATGGGCATTTGGGTTGTTTCCAAGTTTTAGCTATTATGAACTGTGCTGCTATAAACATGGGTGCACATATATCACTGTGGTATGATTCTTTTAATTCTTTTGGAAAGATACCCAGCAGAGGCAAGGCTGGGTTAAATGGAACCTCTAATCCTAGTTCTTGGAAGTATCTCCATACTGATTTCCACAGTGGTTGCACCAGTCTGCACTCCCACCAACAATCGAGAAGGTTTCCTTTCTCTCCATAGCCCCACCAACATTTGTTATTGGTTGATTTCTTGATAGTAGCCATTCTTTCTGGGGTGAGGTGGAATCTGAGTGTTGTCTTCATCTGCATTTCTCAAGTGACTGGTGATGCTCAACATTTTTTCCATATATTTATTTGCTGTTTTTACTTCTTTGAGAAATGTCTGTTCATTTCAGATGCCCATGTTTGAATCAGGTCTTTGTATTTGGGGGTTTGATTGTTTTGAGTTCTTTATATATCCTAGATAGTAGTCCTTTGTCTGATGAGTAGCTGACAAAAATTAAGATTTTTTTTCCCACATTGTAGGTTGTCTCTCAGCTCTGTTGGTGATTTCTCTTGCACTGCAAAAACTTTTTAATGCAATGAGATTCCAGTTGGTGATTCTTTGTGCAAGTTCTTGTGCTGCTGAGGATTTATTCATAAACTATTCTCCTATGCCAATGTCTTCAAGAGTTCTACCTAATTTACTTTCAAGTAAGTTTAGTATTTCTGTTTTGATATTTAGATCTTTAATCCTCTTGGATTTTACTTTAGAGCATGGTGAAAGATAGGTATCTAGTTTTAATCTTTGGCAAGTTGAAAGACAGTTTTTCCAACACCATTCCTATCTTTTCTCCAGTGAGGATGGTTGGCTCATTTGTCAAGGATGAGTTAGCTGAATATGTCTGGTGTTGTTTCTGCATCTTTTAATCTATTCTATTGATCCTCAGGTGTGTTTATTTGCCAGTACCATGCAGTTTTTATCACAGTGGCTTTGTAGTATAGTTTCAAGTTGGGAATTATGATACACCTGCCATGTCTCTGTTACCCAGAATGGTTTTTGCTATTCTAGGTCTTTTCTGTTTTCAGATGAATTTTTGGATTGTTTTCTCAAGTTCTGTGAAATACTCTGTTGGGTTTTCAATTGGGATTGCACTAAATCTATATAGTGGTCGTGGAAGTATGGCCATTTTCACTATGCTGATTCTTCCTACTCAGGAGCAAGGGATGTCTTTCCATCTTATATCTTCTTCTTTTATATCACTGTTTTTTAGAGTGGTATAATTTTCAGTGTAGAGGTCTTTTGTCTCCTTCACTAGATTGATTCCTAGATATTTCATTTTTTTGGATGTTATTGTGATAGGAATTGTTTCCCTAATTTCTCTCTCAGTAAATCTATTATTTGTGTACAAGAAGGCTATACATTTTTGAGTGTTGACTTTGTATCCCACTACTCTACTGAATCTGTCAATTAAGTCTAATAGTCTTTTGGCAGAGAGCTTTTTGGGTCTTTTATGTAGAGTTTCATATCAACAGCAAATAGTGACAGTTTAACTTCCTCCTTTCCTATCTTTATTCCTTGTATTTCTTTCTTTTGTCTAGTTGCTGTGGCTAATGTTTCCAGAACTACATGGAACAGGAGTGGTGATAGTGGACATCCTTGTCTTGTTCCTGATTTCAGCATGAGGGTTTTCAGTTTTTGGCCATTTAATATGATGTTGGCTGTTGGTTTTTCATAGATAGCCTTTATCATGTTGAGATAAAGACCATCTATTCCAATTTTCTGTAGGTTTTTTTTTTAATCTTGAATGGGTGTTGAATTTTGTCACATGCTTTTTCTGAATCTATTGAGATGATCATATGGTTTTTGTCCTTGACTATGTTAATATAGTGTATTACATTTATTCATTTATGTATGTTGAACCATCCTTACATCCCTGGGATAAATCCAACTTGGTCTGGGTACATGATCTTCTTGATGACCATCTGTATTCTGTTTGCCAGTATCTTATTGAGGATTTTTGCATCTATGTTCATTAGTGAGAGTGGCCTGTAGTTCTCTTTTTTGGTTGGGTCTTTCCCTGGTTTGGGAATCAAAGTAATACTTGCTATCAGGCATGAATTTGAAAGTATTGCTTCCCTTTCAATTTCATTGAAGAGTTTAAATGTAGTGGTGATAGTTCTTCTCTAAATGTCTTGTAGAATTCATCAGTGAAGCCCCTGATGGCATTCCTGTACTTGTCCCCAAACCACCAATCTGCTAGGACACAATAACTCCATGGAAAGTATTTCTCTCCAGTGTAAATTTGTTCATGTATTTGGCAACTATGTCTGCTGAAAGCTTTCCCACATTGCCTACATACATGAGGTTTCTCACCAGTGTGAGTTCATTCACGAATTTGACAATGGCTATGTTGGCAGAAAGTTTTCCCACATTGCATACATACATACATAGCATTTCTCCCCAGTGTGAATCCTTTCATGTATTTGAGAACTGTGTTGGCTGAAAGGTTTCCCACATCGCTTACACAGATAGGAGTTTTCCCAAGTGTGGGTACTTTCAGGATTACAAAATGAAGCGTTGTGAAGGATTTACCACTGTGTTTATATACATAAGATTTTTCTCCAGTGTGGGCTCTTTCATGTTTCTAAATATCATTGTTAGAACGCAAACATTTTTCACATTGTTTATATGTATAAATATTCACCCTCCTGTGATTTCTTTCCTGGATTTGAACATAGTTAAGTGTACTGAAGGCTTCATATCCTGCTTAAACACAAAAGGCTTCTCTTCAGGGTTACTTTCTTCAGTTCAATCAGAG